CTTTGTCCTTGAAGACAAAGCACTTCTCCAGAGGGTGGCTCACGAGTTGATGGTATTTGCACTAATTTGGGTCATTCATTTTACCAGCTTCATTTGGCCGCTTCATTTCCGGAAGCTCAATGAGATTTAACTCGAGGAGTTCTTCAAATATTGCTGGCACATTAGAATCTAGAAATGGGTACTCATTCTCTTGCATTTCTTTTAGAGTCAACTTTTCACTTGGTCTATCTTGAAAAGAAGTGGATTTCGCATTCTGCTCCTTGCTCACCTTCATTGTGAACTTCACAGGTGATGTATTGACATTCATAACTTCTTTATTTTCATACTTGGGTGCAAACTTGCTACTTTTCCTGACTTCTTGTTTGTCGTTCCCTTTGCGAGGCTCATAGATAGGCATCCTTTCGTTTCCAGTGGATGCCATGCTTAAATCCATGTCACGGACACGAGTCACAAGTTCTTAAAATGTGCTAGGCTTGATACCTTGAAAGATGTAGTGGAGTCCCCAATGCATGCCTTGGATGCACATCTCAATGCCGAAAGCCTCACTAAGCCTGTATTTGAAGTTGAGGCTTGCATTCCTCCAACGATTGATAAAGTCGATAACTGGTTCACCCTTTGGTTGACGAGTACTTGTAAGTTCCACCATGCTTACAGTGTGCCTTGTGCAATAAAAACGATTGAGGAACTCTTGCTCTAGTTGATCCCATCTATCAATAGATCCCGCCTCAAGGTCTGTATACCAATCAAAAGCATTTCCTTTTAGCGAGCGGACAAGCTGCTTGACGAGGTAATCTCCATAAGTCTCAGCTGTGTTGCATGTCTCAACGAAGTGTGCCACGTGTTGCTTTGGATTGCCTTTTCCATTAAACTGTTGGAATTTTGGAGGTTGATAACTAGCATACATCTTCAACATATTGATCCTCGTAGTATATGGCTTTGCGTATGTAAGAGAGGACTTTGTAGCAACCTCGTACTTTCTTTTAATAGTTACTTCAATGAACTCCTTCAGTTGATCGATTGGAATCATCCCTTCAGATGCGACATGGATAGCCTTAGCGGATGCTACTTGTCTTGGGGGAGAATTACTCTCTGGAACCTCTAGGAGCTTGCCGGGTACATGGGTGGATTCTTCTTCCATCAAGATTCCCACCATGTCTGTTAGCTTGTTAATCCTAGAATCTTGATTTTGCATGCGCTTGGTCAAGCCAACGATTGCTTCCGTCAAGTTTGCCAACTGCTCTTCCATAGATGAAGTGCTTGTCACCATGGCTTGCACGATTGTTATGGATGATGTGGAGTAGCATGGATTGTCACACAGATTGATTCTCAAATGGCTCACACTATGCATTGTAAGTGGGGAGGATCCATCACTTGAAGCATCATTATTTTCCTTTACAACAGAGTACTTGGATCCGGAGAGGTCAAGCAGAGCAAGAGTTTTCTTGATCTTTTCAGCAATATCATTTCCTCATTCGAGTGCGTTTGTGGAAGATCTTGCTCCTTTTGAGGATGAAGATCTGAGAACAGGGGTTGATGCGGATGAAACTTGGGGTGCTTGCTGTCCTAACGAGCTTGCTTTGCTCCTCGTAACTGGTTCGAAGCTTCCAAAGGTAACATCGAGGATGCTTTTCACATCAGCATAGAACATGGAGTTAGCAGCCTTGGTGGATGTTGATCTGGAGTTGATTTTCTTTGAAGCCATTTCGACGTTCTTGGACTTTGGTGATTGAAAAGTTGAGATGAGAGGTATAGATTGTCCCACTGGCCGTGCCAGAATTTGTAGACAATAAATTTACGTCGAGAAAATAAAATCAAGACCGAAAAATATTGCAACAATCGTAGTATTTGATTTCAAATAGTTTGAGTGTTACAATCTTTATGGTTCCTCTGATTTTACTTTTTCAATATAAATTCAAGGGCATTTGAGCTTGATCTTGAATTTGAATTTGATTTATCTGTCGCGAACACTTTGATTGTTTCCACGAATTGTATCACGAACAAGTAGCCTTGATCTTGAACGCCTTGTATTTAATTTGACGTCGTTCTTGATCTTGAATACTTGAAATTTGTGTTGAAGTGCTTGAACACTTGCAGTTTGGAGAGAATTGTGGCATTTGATCGACGAGCTCCCTTGTGTATTCTTGTTATAACTTCTGGTATTTTTTCTAGGTTATAAAGACCTCTATTTATAGTTGTGGGAGGGAAGAGTTGTGATAAGAACAAACTCTTTCCGACCAATCAGATTGATGAGTGACAAACCCGCATTTGATTGGCTAGAACATGTCACTTGCATATGTGGCGCGATTTCATTGGCCTTTTAATTTGACTTGGCATGCCTTGTCATTTTAACACGTGGCATGATCATATTGGTTCTTCCGTTTGACTTGGCGCGCCACGTCATTTGACACGTGGCACCAAACTGGGCCTCTAGGAAGATGACATCTTGGACTTAATGAAGTGGGACTCATTATTTGTAGCCCAATTAAATTGGACTTATATAATTAATCCAATTATATTAGCCCAAAATATTTATTTGATATAATATCTTAAATTTAAAATATAGTCCAAATTATTTTATGAATTTAATTTTAATAAAATTTATATGTCTACATATATATTTAGAAGATGCATAGAAAATAAAAAACTCGCGTTCGTTATTAACTTCTCAAATAGTAATAACTAAACAAAGTAATCATTTTCTAAATTTATTAAAGTTTTTATTGACGTGCGACTAATTCACTAGTGAAGAAAATATATAAAGGGTTAATATGTTCATCATCCCTGCCTCAAAGTCTGTGTCACACACACAAAAAAAAAAAGCATTCAATGTTTCAGAATAATAAGATCGTACCAGTAATGTTATAGTATCTAATCATCCAACGGTGAATATTTTGCGGAACTCAGTTCCGTCAAATTTGAGGAATCCTTTCTAAGTGGTAAACAGACATGACAACATGTCCTGCTGTGCTACCTAAAAAGAAAAACACAGATTAGAAAACAGAAAATAATTGCATGGGCTGAAAAGCATTTATAACTATATTGGGTTTCAATGTAAGACAGGTTTCAATTTTGCGGAACTCAGTTCCGTCAAATTTGAGGAATCCTTTCTAAGTGGTAAACAGACATGACAACATGTCCTGCTGTGCTACCTAAAAAGAAAAACACAGATTAGAAAACAGAAAATAATTGCATGGGCTGAAAAGCATTTATAACTATATTGGGTTTCAATGTAAGACAGGTTTCAATTTTGCGGAACTCAGTTCCGTCAAATTTGAGGAATCCTTTCTAAGTGGTAAACAGACATGACAACATGTCCTGCTGTGCTACCTAAAAAGAAAAACACAGATTAGAAAACAGAAAATAATTGCATGGGCTGAAAAGCATTTATAACTATATTGGGTTTCAATGTAAGACAGGTTTCAATTTTGCGGAACTCAGTTCCGTCAAATTTGAGGAATCCTTTCTAAGTGGTAAACAGACATGACAACATGTCCTGCTGTGCTACCTAAAAAGAAAAACACAGATTAGAAAACAGAAAATAATTGCATGGGCTGAAAAGCATTTATAACTATATTGGGTTTCAATGTAAGACAGGTTTGAGATGCTGGCCTACCCTGGAGTTGCTCTTCTGAAGCAAACGGATTAAAGAGCAAAATTTCATCCACCCGGTTAAGTATCTAAAATCTAAGGACCCTGTAAAAGCAAAGATCACAAGTTTAGTACATCCAAATTGAAACAATATGCTAATTATAACAGATCACAACACCCAATGACACACACACCCAATGGAAAAAAAAAAGATCAGCACGTACGCTCTACTATTGAACAAGCAATACAGTTCCAATTACACATACCTTGTCAATTGTTCCATCCGAATTATCAGATTTATTTGGACCTCCAAGAAGCTTCGTTCCATCCAAATTACCGGATTCATTTTGGACTGATATTCGAAACTAAGTCACAGTTTTAAAATTAATTGAAATTTAGTCATTTTTTTAATTCTTTCGATAAAAATACCATAGCTTAATAAAGTGGCAGATACACGCTTCTTAATCTTTTTTTTTTCTTTCTAAAAGTTCTAACTCCGTTGGAATTTACCTGCGAAGAGTCTTTGAACTCCAACACAATGTGTTGGAGTTGTACATGTAGGAGTTTTAAAATCTAGTATATTATGCTGATTCTTTCTTTATTTTAGATAGAGTTATTTTGTTCAGATTCTATTTGTGCATTAAAAAGTACTTAGTATTCAATTACTTTACAAACACTGATATTATCAATCTGAAAAATGGCTAACTAACGCTACTTTTACCACCAGAACCCTTGGTGGTTATCTAAGAACTCTAATCAGCCAAAAAATAATAATTTTCTTCACAAATTTGACCAAAAAACAATTAACTTCAATTCAAAGTTGAGAATTTCATAGAATTGCTTTGCAAAGAACACATTTTATACTTGGTTACTAATCCATTGGGTTTGAAGAAAAATAGATAAGTCGATCAAGCAATGAAAAGAAAAGAACGAAATCAAACAAAAATGCAAGAAATTCACTACGATTTACTGAAAAGATAAATTTACATAGCATGTAAAGCCGTCTTAGTTATTTTTAGATCCAGACAAGTCTTTTATTTATTTTTTAATGAAGAGGAAGATTTTATTCATCACTAGGATCATTACACAGTAGGTAGTACACGCAGGTCGCTAACTGCTTTACCTAAACCCAGTTCAAAGAATTGCTTTCTGTTTCTCAATTACACGCTTTTCTTGAGGCCAAACCCAGGAGCAATTAAAGCACACTCGTAAATTGAGCGAAGAGGCGATAAGTCAAGTATATGACTTTTCTTCTTGGGCCATCTGAGCAGAAATTTGCAACTAGTATTCCACATTACATGGCCCGCGAAAATGATACAACGAAATGTCTTTTGAATAATTCTGGAGGCTATACATATTCCACATTATATTCCACATTGACTTCCAGTTTTTCTAATTCTACCCGTATTTTACAAGCTGAGAAATTAATGCCATTGCCTCGCACGACTTGTAATGATTCACTACAATATAAATTAAAGCTCTACCCTGCACAATAACCAAAACAAACAGCTGAATTTCATCCTTTAGTCATGATGATGGTTCCCAGAATATTATTTTCTTTACTTCAGTTTTTCACTCTCTTATATCTCTCCACAGTTTCTTTTGCTTCTACTGAGGAGGCAACTGCTCTCCTCAAATGGAAAGCGACTTTCCAAAACCAAAATAATACCTTATTGGCTTCATGGAAACTAAGTCCTGTTGGTTCCAAGAATTCTTCCAGCGTTGGAGCGACAGGTTCTGATGCATGCAGGGGCTGGTATGGAGTTACATGCTTAAATGGAAGGGTCAACAGGTTGAATATTATAAATGCTAGTGTTGTTGGCACACTCTATGATTTTCCATTTTCATCTCTCCCTTTTCTTGAATATGTTGATCTTAGCATGAACCAGCTCTCTGGCACAATCCCCCCTGAAATAGGTAAACTCACTAATCTAGTTTATCTTGACTTGTCCATCAATCAGATTTCAGGCACGATCCCACTACAAATCGGGTCACTAACAAAGCTTGAGATCCTCCATATCTTTGACAACCTATTAAATGGTTCCATTCCGGAAGAAATAGGTCACCTAAGGTCTCTTATTCAGCTAACTTTGAATAATAACTCTCTTAATGGTTCAATTCCTGCTTCATTGGGGAATTTGAACTACCTGTCTTCTTTGTATCTTTGTAAGAATAAGCTTTCTAGTCCCATTCCTGTTGAAATTGGGAAGATGAAGTCACTTGAGAGTTTGTACTTCGACACAAACAATCTTTCTGGTCCAATTCCTACCGAGCTGGGGAATCTGAAATATCTCACTCATATGTCATTATACCAAAATCAGCTTACTGGATTAATTCCAACTACTCTAGGTGACATAACTGAGCTCAAGACTCTATACCTTTATTCTAACAAACTTTCTGGTCCTATTCCTACAGAATTGGGGAATTTGAAAAACCTCACTGATCTATATTTATCTACAAATCAGCTTACTGGTTCAATTCCAATTACGGTAGGTGACTTAAGTGAGCTCAAAATTCTATACCTTTTTTCTAACCAACTTTCTGGTCCCATTCCTACAGAGTTAGGGAATCTGAAAAACCTCACAAATATAGAATTATCTAATAATCAGCTTACGGGTTCAATTCCTACTTCATTTGGCAATTTGAGAAACTTGCAAAACCTGAATCTCCACTCCAACAAACTTTCTGGTTCCATTCCAAAAGAACTTGCATATTTGGATAACTTGGTTATGTTGTCAATGAGTGAAAATCAGTTTTCAGGCCACTTGCCAGAGCATTTTTGCCAAGGTGAAAAACTTGTGAGCTTCACGGTGAATAGTAACAAGTTAACAGGTCCAATACCAAGAAGCTTGAGCAAATGCTCGAGTTTCAAAAGAGTTCGTTTTGATAACAACAGTTTCACAGGGAATTTATCGGAAGCTTTTGGTATCTATCCCGAGCTTCAGTTCATTGATTTGAGCGACAATAAGTTTTATGGTGAACTCAGCAGCAACTGGGGAAAATGCAAGAATTTGACAACTTTGCAGATAACCAGAAATAACATTAGTGGTAGCATACCACCAGAGATTGGAAATGTCAAAGGGCTTCAAGGACTTGATCTTTCGTCTAATCATTTGGTTGGGCAGATTCCAAAAGAATTTGGAAAATTGACCTCTCTAGTTAAACTTTTTATGCAGAACAATCACATTTCTGGTAATATTCCGAGTGAACTTGGGTCACTGACAATGTTAAATTCCCTTGATCTGTCAGACAATAGATTGAACGGGTCGATCCCAACATTTATAGGAGATTACATGAACATGTTTCTCTTGAACCTGAGCAACAACAAGTTTGGCCAGAAAATTCCAAAGGAGATAGGGAGGATAACTCACCTTAGTGTACTTGATTTGAGCCATAACATTCTAGATGGAGAAATTCCCTCTCAGTTAGCCAGTTTGCTGGACTTGGATAAGTTGAATCTTTCTCACAATGGCCTCTCTGGCCGCATTCCTGAAGAATTTGAAAATTTGACTGGTTTGCGGGTTTTTGTCTTGTCATACAACGAGTTGGAAGGTCCAATACCAAATAATAAAGCTTTTATGAATGCTTCATTTGAAGGTAATAAAGGTCTTTGCGGCAATGTAACAGGATTTCAGCCTTGCGAAAGGCCATCTTCGATGGTGAAGAAGCATTCAAGAAGTAAACTCATCCTCGCCACTGTACTTCCTCTTATGGGAGCACTAGTACTTCTCTGTGCTTTTACTGGTGTTCTTATGTGTGATAAAAGAAGGAAAGTTAAAGATGTTGAAAGACGGGATGATGGTTTATTTTCTGTATCCTTGTTAGATGGAAAGGCATTGTACAGTGATATCTTAAACGCCACAGAGGAGTTTGATGCAACATTTTGTATCGGGCGAGGAGGGCAGGGAAGCGTTTACAAGGTAAACCTTCCATCATTAGGGAGTATAGCTGTGAAGAAATTTCATTCTTCATTTGCGAATACACATTGCAAAAGCTTCACGAATGAGGTCAATGCATTGATTGGGATTAAGCATCGGAACATTGTGAAACTTTATGGCTTTTGTTCGAATGCACAACACTCGTTCTTGGTTTATGAGTATGCGGAGAGGGGGAGTCTGTTTAGTATCTTGAGCAATGAAGTTGAGTCCAAGAATTTGGATTGGCTTAAAAGGGTGAATATCATCAAAGGTATTGCTTTTGCTTTATCTTATATGCACCAGGATTGCTCACCACCGATTGTTCATCGAGACATATCAAGCAGTAATGTTTTGCTTGATTCCGAGTATGAAGCTCGTGTTTCAGATTTTGGAATAGCTAAGCTTCTCAAGCCAGACTCGTCCAATTGCACAACGCTTGCAGGCACATATGGCTATGTTGCACCTGGTAAGATCTAAATTTTTATCCCTTTTATAACTTCATGAACTATATATAGCCTCGCACTCTATATTGTTTTTATCTGATTTAAACGTTTAAATTGTTATACTTTTTGCCAAATTCTATTGTTTCAGAGCTTGCATATACAATGAAGGTTACAGAAATGTGTGATGTCTATAGCTTTGGAGTATTAGCATTGGAGATAATCAAAGGAAATCATCTTGGGGAATACATTACTCTGCTAGCAAATTCATCGACTAGAGATCATGTGCAACTTAGCGATTTGCTGGATGAACGCCTTCCATATCCTGACAATAGAGTAAAAGAGGTTTTGGGTTTTATCATCAATCTAGCAAGCTCTTGTTTGGTTGAAACTCCGAAATCGAGACCAACAATGCACTTCATATCTCATAGGTTATCATCAATGGATCCACGCCACGTACTTATCAGATTAACCCCCATGTAACGCGAGCTATAGAATCCCTGATATGTAAAGGTGTCTTTGTATGGAAGTGAATAACCTTTGACACAAAGTGATTGTGATGTAAGTAGTTTAATGAGAAGGTCCATGATAAAATTATAACTGGGATTAGTTTTCTGTATTGTTAGGGTGCTTATAATTGTATTACTGGAAATTTATGTGAATATATATGCCTTTTAAGTACTTCAAACATATATAGATGTCATTTTAATATTTTTAAGTGGATATATAAGAAAATCAGACATTCAATTAATAACGAGACACTCACTGCAGGGGCGATCCAACATCATCTGAGGCCTAAAATAAAGCCTTAATAAGAGGCCTTAATGATCATCGTTTTTTTAAAAAAATAGACAAGTGGGGATGTGGAATTAAAAAAAAAAATGAGAACTTAGTTTTATATAGTACAAAAAATTAAATGAATTTAACGTTGATTGCATCACAACTCAAATGGGAGAACCCAGAAAACATACTTCCTCCGTCCCAACTTAAGTGACTCCTTTTTTTAGTAAGTCCCTTTCTATATTTGGTAATAATTCAACTTTAGATTTTTCTTTTTACCATTAATAAAATAATTTCTAGCCCACAAATTTTTATGATTTATTTAAGATTATAAGTTTCAAAAGTCTTCCTTTATTTCATAAACTCCATGTCCAGTCAAACACTTTCATATAAATTGGGACGGAGAGAGTATAATTTATGTAAGGAAAATAAATAATAAGTTAGATTATTAGATATAGTTACCTGACCAACTAATGAATAGAGAAATATAATTAAGTAAAATAAGATTGACAGAAAACTATTTTAGTTATATTAATTAGATGAAAAAATCGAGTTATTAAAAATTAATATGATAATAAAGAAATAAATTTATCAATAATAAGAGATATTTATATAAATAATATACTACTATATATAGAGAGATATAGTAATTTTAGTGCCCTTAAATTTTTAGGGCCTAAAGCAAGTGCTTCTCACTTCACTTGCTTTAGGGTGAGGCCGCCCCTGACTAACTGTTGCATGTTTTTGCATTGTGATGTTTTGCTCAAGCAAGTTTTGCTCAATCATGTTTTTGCATTGTGATGTTTTGAACGCTGGACTGATTTATTTAACCATTTGGAATATGGAATTCATGATGTGATTAATTCGAATTGGCGTCACGTCGAATTCATTGAAGTGCATTAGCCTTAACTAAGATTCAAGTTGCTGCACTTTTTGTTGCTTTCCGACTTTTCCTGAACCTATGCAGAAATTTTAAGATTCAAGTTGCTTTCCGACCGTCCATAAGATTCAAGTTGCTGCACTCTTTTTTCCCTTCAGAAATTTTATAATTAACCTAACCGCATTCATCGCAAATAATATTCCAGCTGTAGGACCATTAAGCATGGTCAAGAGCACTTGATATTTCCAGAAGAATTAAAAAATATGCTAAAATTAGTCTTTACTCCTCTTACCTACCCTTCTCTGCGTACTAATTAAATACAAGCTATAGTATATTGAAGGAGAGGAAGCGAACAGAAGAGGAAATTGCACAGAGCTAAAAGTCACCAGAAATTCCTTCATCGCTTCCATTTTTAACAATGTTTAAAACGTCAAGATATATACTTCTAACTAGTTCATTAATTTATTGACCTAGTTGGCACATGTTCTGTTTCTATACGCCATTAATTAGCAACTTTTTACTTTAGTGGATAACTTTGTGTTCATATATATGTGAAGCTACTCACTCAGTAGACTATAGGAAATATAATCAAACTCTGTAAAACGTTATTTTCGATCTCTTCAAGTAGCTGAGAAAAAAAAATGGCAATTGGGGGCATGGTTGTTGAGGGACAAGATAGCGATAACCGCTTTAACGGGAAGATAACATTCGATGTTGTCATCACTAGCATTGTTGCTGCATCAGGTGGCCTCATTTTTGGATTTGATATTGGAATTTCAGGTTAGTGTTTTCCTTTTCATTTTTGCTGATTCCTCTCCAACTTTCTTGGTAGGGGTCTACCTGATGAATGATGATCAACAGTGTTTCTTACGAAAGTCCCTATGAAGAAGGGTTAATTATCATTTGATTTAACTTGTGTATATAGAGTATATATAAAATTTACACTATTATTGTATGTAGAAGTAATTTGTTTTATTTTCCGCTTTACTAATTTCACTTTTTAGGGTTGGATACCTATAATTATCTTTTAAATGATATGATTGTGTAAAATTTATGTACTGTCTTGTCTCTGTATAGAAGTTAATCATCATCTTTAATTTTTACATAGTACTAGTGTAACACTATAAAGTCATACTAAAATAACTATAGGTTATCCATATTCAAGGAAAGAGAAGAAACATTTTTATTTCAGCTAAACAACTTTCCAGGAAATTTCAGGAACAACTGTCTTGACATTGTGTCATTCCTTTGTGAACTGGAGTATCAGCCTGATATATAAACTAAATTTAAAAAATGAGAGAACAAAAAGAGAACTGGCCATTTCCAATACGGACTCGTAATTTCTATGCTGTGTAAGCCATATATATTTACAAATACTCAATCCCTTTTAATTGTACACATCAGGAGGAGTGACAACAATGAGGCCATTCCTTGAAAAATTCTTCCCATCAATACTGAAGAAGGCAGCATCTGCTGGTGCTGAAACAAACGTGTATTGTGTGTACGGCAGCGAGGTTTTAACAGTGTTTACTTCACCACTCTACATTGTTGGCATGGTTGCGTCTCTCATACCTGGTCGCCTCACGGCCGCGATAGGACGAAGAAACATAATGGTAGTAGGAGGCTGCACTTTCTTTGCTGGTGCTGCTGTCAATGGTGCTGCTCAAAATATTTCTATGCTCATCTTGGGCCGCATTTTGCTAGGCATTGGTGTTGGCTTTACTAACCAGGTAGGGAAAGAAGAGTATGCGTTTTAGGCCTCTTCCCCAGCCTACACTTTCTAGACACAATCTTGTCTTTCCCTGAACTAAAATCAAGACTTATGTAGTAATTTAACTTTCTTTTTAATTATGTATACCTTTGAATGCTACTCCTGTATATGATGGGTCCATCCCATGACTTAAGGAAGATGGTTTTCTTCCTATGAAAAAGACTTCTAATGTGTAGGCTTTTTCAATTGACAGCCAACGTTTTTTGAATTGTCCACATTGAAGAGTTTGAAGTTTCTTTCTTTCTTTTGATGTCACTGATGACATCTGGAGGAGTATTAAATCTCTATAAATAGAGAGCTTCTGAGCCATTTATATTAGACCAACAAAGAGAGAAAGAAAGAGTGAGGTTTCACAGAAAGGGTATAAGAAAATAGTCTGTGAGAAAAATAGAGAGTGATATATTGTAGTGAGGTGGGAATATCAAAAGAGGATTATTTCTTTAAGTGTTGTAGTGGTCTTTGGAGTATTTTACTTGGACCTACAAAGTGTAAAATTCCTTGCTATAGTGATATCAGTTGCTCGTCTCGGGGCCGTGATTTCTCCCTTATTCAAAAGGGTTTTCCACGTAAAAATATTGGTGTCGTTATCACTCTTTTATTCTTGTTAATTACCATATCTCGATGCTACGTTATTATTCCGCTTTTATTACTGTGAATATTATTTTTGTAGGGGGTTTATTTCCAATAACTGGTATGAGAGCACAGGTTATGCTCGTTCACAAAAGTACTATTCACTATCGGTAGTACTATACTCGGTGAAAAACAAAAATGTCCGGCATAAAGTACGAGGTAGCAAAATTTAACGGATATAGCGGTTTCTCAACATGGCAAAGAAGGATGAGAGATCTGCTCATCCAACAAGGATTACACAAGGTACTAGATGTTGATGCCAAAATGCCTGATACCATGAAAGCTGAGGATTAGGCTGACTTGGATGAAAGGGATGCTAGTGCAATCAGGTTGCACTTATCAGATGATGTGGTAAATAACATTATTGATGAAGACATTGCACGTGGCATTTGGACAAGGTTGGAAAGCCTATACATGTCCAAAACGCTAACAAATAAATTGTACCTGAAGAAGCAGCTATACGCCCTACACATGGGTGAAGGTACGCATTTTTTGTCACATTTAAATGTATTTAATGGACTAATCACACAGCTCGCCAATCTCATAGTGAAAATCGAGGAAGAAGATAAAGTCATCTTATCGTTGAACTCGTTGACATCTTCGTACGATAATCTGGCAACAACCATCATGCACGGTTAGACTACCATTGAGTTGAAAGATGTCACATCGGCTCTTCTACTCAATGAGAAGATGAGAAAGAAGCCTGAAAATCAAGGACATGCTCTCATCACAGAAGGTAGAGGCAGGAGTTATCAAAGGAGTTCGAGCAACTATGGTAGATCTGGAGCTCGTGGGAAGTTTAAGAACCGATCCAAATCAAGAGCTAGAAATTTCTAAACTTGTGATCAACCAGGTCACTTCCAAAGAGATTGCCCAAATCCAAGGAAGGGCAAAGGTGTAACTAGTGGCCAGAAGAATGAACGATAACACAACCGTTATGGTGCAAAACAATGATAATGTTGTCCTCTGTATAAACGAGGAACATGAATGCATGCACTTATCAGGTCCAGAGTCATAATGGGGGGTTGATACAAAAATATCTTACCATGCCACATCGGTAAGAGATCTTTTTTACAGATATGTAGCAGGTGATTTCGGCCTTCTGAGAATGGGTAACACAAGTTACTCAAAGATTGCGGGGATTGATGACATTTGTATCAAGACAAATGTCGGATGCATATTGGTTCTGAAGGGCGTGCGACATGTACCTGATTTGCGGATGAACTTGATCTCGAGAATTACTTTAGACCGAGATAGATACGAGAACTATTTTACAAATAAAAAATGGAGACTCACCAATGGATCATTAGTGATTGCAAAAGGAGTTGCTTGTGGCACGTTGTACAGGACAAATGCAGAAATATGCCAAGGTGAATTTAACGCGGCACAAGATGAGATTTCTGCATATTTGTGGCACAAAATAATGGGCCATATGAGCGAGAAGGGATTGTAGATTCTTGCCAAGAAATGACTCATTTCTTATGCCAAAGGTAAAGCGGTAAAACCTTGTGACTACTGTTTATTTGGTAAGCAACATAGAGTCTCATTTCAGACATTTTCTCAAAGAAAATTAAATATGCTTGATTTGGTATATTCTGATGTTTGTGGATGGAAATTGAA